ATATTTAGTCTTCTGACCCATGAACGCATTATTATTCTCCATTTATTTAGGTCTCCTTTAATTCCCCTCAACAGTGTTCTGCAGTTTCTCATGACTTTTATCAGATTTACTCCTAATTATTTTATATCTGTTGATGTTTCAATTTGAATTTCAATTTCTGATAATTCATGGTGAGTATAAAATACAGTTGAGTTTTGTGCATTGATATGGTATCCTGTAGGATATCCTACATACATGACCATGCTATCTATAGATCAAGTAAGTTTTCCTTATTCTCTTCTAAACTGTATGCCTATTATCCCTCTTGACTTACTGCTCTGGCTAGAACCTCCAGGACAATGTTGAATAGAAGTAGTGAGAGGGGACATCTTTGTCTTGTTTCTGAGTTAGGGGAAAAGCATTCAGCCTTTCATTATTAAGTATGGTGTTAATTGTAGGATTTTCACAGATTTCCTTTAGCAGGGTGATAAAGTTTCTATTTCTAATTTGCTATATTAAAAAAAATCAGAAATGGATATTGAATTTTGTCAAATACCTTGTTTTCATCTATTGGTTTTCTTTAAGACAATTGCCAGAAAGATAAAGACAGTTTCTCTTTCTGGTCTGAAGAAATAAAAATTATATTCAGCTCTTTACATAAATGCCTTTTTTATATTGCAAAGGACATGATTTGGAGTTGCTTATCATTGTTTATTGAGTGTTTTTATATCTAGATTATTGTAACATATAAAAATAAACTTATAATTGTATCACCTCCTGGAATTCATGATTCTTTCTTATCCAGTTCCAAACTGCATGTTCTCCTGATTTTATTATTTTTGCTAAAAGAACTACTATTCCTCTAGTTAGTTAGAATTAAATATTAGTTAATTTCTGACTAAAACAGGGATTCTGGCAATTAAGAGTTTTCCTTTAGCCTAGTTAGTAATTAGTTTTGTGACTTGGACAAGTGATGTTACCTCTTGCCTGATGGTTTAGCTAGGTTCTTTGAGTGGCAGATGTCAAGATAGAAGTAGATCTATTAAGAAATTGATTGTGGGAATGACTGTTAGTTAGCTTATGCTGCCATAATAAAATATTATACACTGGGAAGCTTAAACAACAAAATTTTATTTCTCACAGTTCTGAAGGCTGAGAAGTCCAAGATGAAGGTACTGGTTGTTTTGGTTCCTGGTGAGGCTCTGCTTCCTAGCTTGTAGACAACCACTTTCTCACTGTGTCCTCAGAGGAGAGAAAGAAAGTGAGCACTCTGGTGTCTCTTCTTCTGAGAACACCAATCCAATTACATTCCATTCTTAAAATATCATTTAAATTAACCTTAATTAACTCTATATAGTCCCTATCTCCAAATATAATTTCATTGGGGTTTAGGTCTTCAACATAAAATTTCGGCGGGATGCAATTCAGCTCAGTGCAGAAGGAAAGGAGTAAAGGAAGATGAGAGACTTTACAGTGTGATACAGGTCTGACATGTCTGAAGGAGAGGAGAAAGAAGCATGATTGGGTAGGAAGAGTGTCAGACTCCAGCACAGTTCTGAGGAAGGTGTGGTCAGCCTAATGGGGAGTCCTTGATCCACAGTCATCCATTAAAGGAGCCTTGTTTACAAGGTGTGGGCCTATATTAGTACCCCTACTATTCTCAGTCACTGGCTTGGAGCAGCCCATGGGAAATATGGCCTCATGTGAACTTCGGGATAGATCCAGAAAGGCAGCAGCTGAGGCCATTAGTCAATTTTGTTGAATCCAAGAAGTTCATTTGCATTGCTACCATACATTTTTTGGTCATTTGTAAAAATGACAGTATTGACCTTCAAGGTTTAAACTGATGACCTACAAATATGTTTTATGTGGAAGTACAGTTTAACATTAAAAATTAGTTCCCAACATCTAAAAATATTAATATTTCACCTAAAATTTGCATGTCTAGATTCTGGCTACACCAGGCCACATTCCTGCATGGTCACAACTGAGCAGGTAGCGCCCTTAGATGGACATCTAGGTTGTCACTGTCTCTACCAAATCTGCTTTCTTCATTTGCAGGTACTACCAGTCAGGGCCCTGGAGTGAAATGATAGATTCTATTTCAAAGGAAGAATTTGAAAACCAATTTGGTAAGAGGGTTTGAGAAAAGGAAAATATTATAGGATGTCACAATTGGAAAGGGAAGAATAAAAAAAATGGTGAAAGGACATGAGTAGACAGTTCACAAAAGACACGCAAAGGACATGGCCACATTACAAACTACGCAATTTTATGATTAAATTTTGCATTTACTTTTAATTTTTTTAAGATGAATTTCTAAAAGTTGAATTGTACATGAAAAATGACTGTTTTTGGTTGTATCAGTTTACACTCCCAACAGCAATGTATAAGGGTACTATTTCCCTGAAACCATGCAAACCCTGAATCATGCTTATTTTTCATTTTTGCCAATTTGAGAGGGGAAAGGGTATCTTGTTGTTTTCTTAATCTGCATTTATTCTATTAAAAGTTCTTCTCTCAGCTGCAATGAGCCTTATTTGCAGCATCTCTTTCTTTCGAATGATTGCTGATTTATTTATTTTTATTATTAGGGGAGTTTCAAATTCACAATATTGTGATGCTTCCAATAGTTGATAGATATTCCACTTCTGTGTAGCAGACTGTATTAGTTTCAGGTCCTATGAGAATCAGTTTTCAAGACAGAATTAAAAACATAATCAATTATTAAGGAGAAATACCTATGTGAGAGAAAACAGGAAAGAATCTGGATAAAGATGGGAGAGCCATGAGACCACAAAGAAAGTATGATCCTGTGGGAAGAAGAGAAGAAAGTTGAATGGAGATGTTCCAGATTGCCTTGCAGCTTAAGAAAAGTTTAGCAGGGCTGTTTGGGTGTCCTTAAGCCAAAGTTGTTCATTAGAAGAAACCTGTGTCTCCCAGGAACTGGCCTGCTTTGCTATTCCTGCTGCTCTAAGTTGTTTCTGGGAGCTCCCATGGGAAGCATGGCCTTGGTAAACATGATGATTTCAGAATGTAGCAATTGGGATACTTGGATACTTAGGCTCCCTGTCATTTAAGATTTGTGAGGTACCTCTCAACTTGTGCCTAAGTTCTCTTCACCAAAAGGAATTGTCTTCTAGTGTCTGTGGCTTGCTAGAATAATTGTAAAAGAGACTAAAGAACCTTGTGGAGAAGAACTCACCCTAAAGGGAGAGATGATTAGGCCCAGTGAGCTGGGGCATAGATACAAATGATACTTGTAATGGGACAACAGTTCTGCATAGGGCATTCTGCCTAGCTTTTGGCTCTGCCTTCTGGCTCATTTCCATAGAGGGGCAAAAAGGGTGGAAAGTTACAAGTAACAACCAAAATAACAAGTTCAACTGTCTTCAACTTCTGAAAGGTGCAGGCAGCACTAGTCTCATTTAGTTTAATACACAAAAAGAAAGAGAGATATTCTCCTATCCTGTGTCTCAAAATCTTAAACAGCTGATATACAGGACCTGGAGGGAAATAGTGATGGAAGTGGGAAGTTGCTGTGGTACCCAGGGCAGGTGATACCCTTCAGACAAGTGGGTTTGTCAGAATGATAGGAATCTGAGAAAGAGAGAGAGAGAGAGAGAGAGAGAGAGAGAGAGGTGGAGGGAGAGAGAGAAGAAGGAGTAGGAGGAGGAGGAAAAGAGAGAGGACAGATGAAAGAGGAAACTAACTCAAAGTAGACTCTTTGATGGACCATATGTGGTATTCTCTAGGAACTCCCAGATAATTGTGGTGGGTAGGTGTGGGGATTTCTAAGAGGCCAGTTGGGTTACTACTTTTATTTAGAATTGGAGTCATTTTAGGTTATTGCTTAAAGATTCTGTATCACTTAGGCTGAGAAAAGTCATGTTGTAATAACTAATAACTTCTAAACACAGAGGTTAAAACAACAAAGTTATTACTTCCACAGTGTGTTAGCTAAGCCTTTGTTATACATCATTGCTTCTTCATTCCAGGACTGAGTCTAATAGAGCAGCTGTTTTCTGGAATACTGCTGATGACCTGGCAGAGGGGAAAGAGAAAGGATGTGATGAAGTGAATTTGGCTATAAAAGCTTTTATCTGGAAATGATGCATGTCACACATAATTGGTCACAAACAAGTCACATGATCCCACCTGAGTTGAGTGTAGTGAGTAATATATTCCTCCCACAGGGTGGGTTAGAGAAATTTGGTAAATAATAATAAGGCCTACTGTAGCCCCTCCTTTGCTATGTTCAGATTTCAGGGCATTGATATGAGGAGGTAAAAAGAGGCAGTTCTACAAATTAGTTCCAGGCATCTTTCTTCCTCTGCTATATAAGCACAATTATGCTAAGCTTATTTATACTTTAGTGCAGTTGTTGTAGTTGTTCCCTCTTCTTAGAACATTTTCCTCTCAGGTGTTCTATGACTAGATTTCTCTTGTCATTTAGATGTCAGCTTTAACGTCACTTCCTCAGAAATGTCTTTCCTGACCCTAATCCACATGACCCTCATCCTCCTCTCCCAGCTCTCCTTTTCAGTTTACCATCTTCTATTTTCTTTCTGGCACTATGTCTATCGAAAGTCACACTTTATCTGATAATTTTGGTTTACTGCCTATTTATTTATCATCTATATTCCCTCAGTAGAATGTAAACTTCATATTTATACTCTACGGTATTTTTGCCAGCCAAGGTCCCAGGCTTTTATGATAAGTAGAAAGAGATTGGACTAGTGGTGAAAGGAAAAGGGGGCAGGAACAAAGCCAAAGCATGGATGGGGGCAGGTGCCAAGAAGACCTGGGAAAGGGAGTTGACTGAAGGAGGTTTATAGAGGGAGCATTTCTGAAGGGCCACAAGATGTGTGAAAATAGTAGGGAAAAAGTATAAGACTTTTAAACACGTGCTATTATTAATGTTCCTCAAGAGATTAAAAAAGGGTTAAATTACTTTTTAATTATCTCAATTGCTATAATGTATGTATTTGACCATGACACCCTGTATAAAAAGGAGCCTTGTGCTTGCTTCTGCAGCACATACACTAAACTTGGATGATTCAGAGATTAGCGTGGCCCATGTCAAGGATGATAAGCAAATTCATGAAGTGTTCCATATTTTCATGAAATATTACCATTTGTGACACCATAGATGGACGCAGGGGGTATTAGTCTAAGTGAAATAAGTCAGTCAGAGACACACAAACACCATATGATTTCACTTACATGTGGAATCTAAAGAACAATATACATGAACAAATGAAACAAGTAGACTCATAGACACAGAAAACAGACTGATGATTGCCAGATGGAAGGGAGTTTGGGGGACTGGGTATAAAAGGTGAAGGGACTGAGATGGGTAGTTACAAAATAATCATGGAGGTGTAAAGCACAGCATAGGAAATATAGTCAGTAATATTCTAATAACTATGTATGGTGCCAGTTGGATACTGGAAGTATTGGGGGGAGTACCTTGTAAAGTATGTGATTCTTTAATCACTGTGAAGTACACCTGAAAGTAATAAAAAATGATGTTGAGTGTTAACTGTAACTGAAAATATTTTAAAAATAGTTAAAAAAAAGTAGCCTGGATATTACAACCCAAGAGCTAGGTATTGTAAGAACATTGTCCTCTGCTGGAATTCTGCTTGTATCATCATCCAAAAAGGTAGTCTCTAGAATAACTTTTGGGTTACTGTAACTGAGGTAGGTATTGAGGACTCCGGAACAACCTGTCACTCCTGCTGCCAGTGGGGCAAGAACAGTACTCAGCACATGATGGACACTGAAGAAATGTCAGCGCCTAGGGAAGCTGCAATGTTCATGAGCCAGGTAAGGAGAAGGTGGTATCGGAGAGGTGGGCTGATGCTCTCCTTCATTCCCTTGATATTAGGTTAATGTGGAGATATGCTGGGAGGGGAGGGGAGAGAGAGAGAGGAAAGGAGAAGAGAAAGGAATGATACCTTTATTTGAATAATTTAAAGTATTATTCTTGGACTTGTCCTTTTGGAAGAGAACAGTGATATGAGAATATTCTAGAAAGTGACTGTTGAAATAGGGTCAGAAGTCTTAGTTCTACTCTTTTCCTTCCCTTTTAACTTGTAAAGTTGAGGGTTAAGATGCTGGCCTATGAATTGTGAGTCTGCCCAGGGAAGTTCAGTATTTAAGTGTTAAGTAAAATGCCCGCAAATTAGATATTTAAGAGAGGGCCTGACTGAACAGATAGATCTCAGCCTGACAGTATGAGGGTGAGGCTGCAGCTGTCTTGGCAGATGTTCAGGGGAAAGGGTTCCAAGTGTAAATGCCCTTGATGACAGCCTCTTGTTATTTGAGATTAAAACTCTAAAGACCATGGGAGAGGTCGGGGGTGAGGGTCATGGTGGCCGCACCAGTGGGGATGGTGGGCGCGGGGCGTGGAGGCAGTGCCTTATAGGCAGGAGGCTGGGGGCTGGGCTGGGGAGTAGTAGGCCAGCTGGTACCAGGATGCGTTTGCAACCAGCACCTCTAGGCATACAGGCAGTGCTGCCGAAGAGGGTCATGGGAGCTGGGGCACAGACAGCAGCAGCCCAAGGAAAACCACAACACAGCCCTCATGCCACTGGGCGGCTTGTGGCTGCCTGGGGAGCTCAAACTTTATCAGGGCGAAAGTCACTGTTATATGACAAAGGCTTTGCTGCAGTTCATCTCCTCCTTGTGTACTTTCCTTTTGCCTTCCTGGGAATCAAGACGGTGGAGGAGTGAGTGGAAGTCACACTGAACTCCTCTCAGGACCAACCTGGAATTTGAACTAAATTATGGAGAAATCACCTAGAACAAACAACTGAACAATAGTGAGAGAGGAGCCTTGTTACCTCAAGAGAAAGAAGAATCGGCTTTAGTGCAATCTAACTGGGAAGAAGTGCTGTAGAGACTTGAGAAGGTGGGAAGGGCGCCCACGGGCAGCAGCACCAGATGGATATTGAAACAGTCAGTTGGATCCCCCTGAGAAGAGCAGGATCTGAACCAAAAGGGGGATCTCTAGCCTACAACACCATAGTCCAGAAAGTACACAGATAACAACCAGCTGCGAAAGTGGCAGTGTTGCTCTCTGCCAGAGACAGGAAGCTGGAGACGCAAAGACACATTTAAAGGGCCAACACAAATTTTTATTTGCAGCCACTTACCCTGGTCTCCGGCAATGGCAGGGGAAGAGTGGGCTAGAGAGGCCTGAAGAGAGACTGGGGAAGGAGGCTTTAGGGAGATAACAGAGAGAGTAGCTAGTGGGATCTTGGGGCTGACTCATCCCCCATGCGGCAGCAGCCATCTTGCTCAGGCAGAGACCACATCCCCTGAGCAGCAGCAGCAGTGTGAGAGGACCCAATAGCCTTGCCCCGAGGTGGGATTCCACCCCACGCTGTGATATCTAAGCCACCTGCTGAGTACAGAGTGGCAGCCACAGGTGGTAGATCCCTGGCTAAAGGAGGTGCAGAGAGGTCTGGAGACAATTGAGAAAAGACTGGGGACAGAGGCTTTGGGGAAAGAGGAGAGAGAGTAGCCAGCGGGATCCTGGTGCTGACTCCTCCCCCATACAGCAGCAGCGAGAGAGGACCCAATAACCCTGCCCTAAGGAAGGACTCTGCCCTGCCCTGGGCTGTCTAAGGCCACCTGCTCAGTGCAGAGTGACTAGATTAACAGCTGAAGGAGACAGCCACAAACAGTAGATTACTGGAAGTCTCCAACAGACTGCCTAAGGTCAGACAGGGATGGCAGCTGACATCATCAGAGGCAGATCCAGAAAGTAAAAACAGTGGTCTCCTACCATACCAGTTCACACCACAAAGTCAGGAAATCAAGACAAATCAACTTAAGAAGAAGTAACAAAAAAGGAGTCTCACAAATAATGGGAAGACAAATAAATACCCCCCCAGTTGAAGGGAAAGGAGGGATCCCCAGAAACAGAACTAAATGAAATGGAGGCGAGTAAACTATCAGATACTGAGTTCCACACAATAGTTCTAAGGAAGCTCAATGAACTCAGTGAGAATTACAAAAAGCTACAGGGAAAGTACGAGGAACTTACTGCAAACTATATCAGCATGAAAAGGACATAGAAACTATTGCTCTTATTGATATAAGAGGCAAGAGGAAATGAAGAGTACAATTTCTGAGTTGAAGAACTCAGTAGAAGGAATCAAAAGCAGGCTAAATGAAGCTGAGGATCCAATAAGCAAGCTGGAGGACAAAGTAGAAAAAAGCTCTGAGAAAGAGCAAGAAAATGAAAAAAGACTCAAAAAGAATGAAGAGGCATTTAGGGAAATACAGGACAACCTGAAACATAATAATATCCATATAATAGGGATGCCAGAAGGAGAAGAAGAGGAGGAAGGGATTGAGAACCTGTTTGAAAAAGTTATGATGGAAAACTTCCCTCACTGGAGGAGAGAAAAAGTCACACAAGTCCAGGAAGCACAGAGGGTCCTATTTAAGAGGAACCCAAAGAGGCCCACTCCAAGACACATCATCATTAGAATGACAAATATCAAAGACAAAGAAAGAATCCTAAAGGCAGCAAGGGAGAAAGAGGTAATAACATATACAGGGCCCTCGATATGGCTAGCATCTGACTTCTCAACAGAAACACTACAAGCCAGAAGGGAATGGCAAGAAAAATTCCAGTCATGAAAAGCAAAGGCCTGCAACCAAGACTGCTCTATCCAATAAGGTTCACAATCAAAATGGAAGGCGAAATAAGGAGTTTCTCAGACAAAAGAAGGCTAAAAGACTACACCTCCACCAAACCAGCATTGCAAAACATGCTAAAGGGACTGCTTTAAGATGAAGAAAAAGAGTCTGCGAATACCCAGTTCCTTCTACAGTTGCCAATCCTTGATATTACCAAAATTTTTTAATATGTATTAATCTGATTGTGACAATAATGTTATTTTAATTGTTCCTTTATTATTTGTTGAAACTAAACCTGTTTTAGTATATTTCTTGCCTCTTTCTATTATTTTTAAAAAGCTTTAAATGACTTTTTTGGTATTCTTTATCTATTTATTGATTAAATGTTTGTAGAATTCTTGCCCTAAAAATAACAAAACAACACAAACCATTAACCCTTTCTTAGATGTGCTGCAAATGCTTTCCTATTCTATGACTTGTCTTTTAACTTTTTAATATGTATATTACTGGACAGTCTTAAATGTTTAATATAGTCATATTGTTAGTATTTTACTTTATGACTTCCAGGTTTGAATATTTTACTTCAGGGTAAGAAAAATCTTAGTTTGTATTTTCTCCTAAAATGCCTTAGATTCTACATGTTGATTTTTAACTCTCTTGAATATTTCTTGTATAATGTGTGAAATAGGCCTCTATATTTGTGTTATTTCAAGTAAGAGTGGTCCATGCACCTTATTTGTTGAATAAGCCTTATTTTCTCCATTGATTTGAAATATCAACTTAATCATATATTACATTGTTAGGCAGATATATATGTTTGTCTCTAGATTTCTCATTATATTTCATTGATCTACTTGATTATTTCTGTGCTGGTGTCATGTTGTTTTAATTGCTAAGACTTTATAAAGAATTTAAATTTTTAAATATTTTATAATTAACTGTGACTAGAGAATATTAAGCTAAGTGAAAAAGCCAGTTGATGAAAGGCAAATACTATATGATCTCACCTATAAGTAGACTCTATTCAACAAAATAAACTAATGAACAAAATAAACCACAGGCATGGAAACATGGAGCAGACTGAACGTGACCAGAAGAGATGGGGAAAGAGGACAATGATGGAAAGAAGGGGAAGGGACTAGACAAAGAACATGTATCAAAGACCCATGGACATGGATAACAGAGTGGGAATTAACTGTGGGAGTGGGGGGTGGGGGTGGGATGTGTGGAGGTGGGTAAAGGGAAAAAGTGAGACAGCTGTAATAGAATATACATGATTTATAAATTTAAAAAAGTCAAAAACCAAAACATCTTAAGGACCAAAATTTTTTGGTGTGCTATTGGTGTTTCTCGTTGCTAAAGGCCTAAAGAAAAGGGACTTTGTCTAACCCACTTAAGCCTCACACATGCACATGCTATTGAAAACTTCCCTCACTGGAGGAGAGAAAAAGTCACTTTTCTC